ATGGAATGAAAAAAGATGTGGAGTGGTAAAATGTTGAGGAATGACATTTCTCTGCTGCCTGTCTCTATCATTAGCTATTCTGTCTGTTTTGATGCTGGTTGAAGGCCAGGCCCGAGCGCTCAAAGAAACACAGATGGGGTTGAATGTCACCTGGCAGAACAGGCTGCTGACAGAAGTTAGAACCTCCTGGTCCTCACACATACATGTTAGTGATTAAAATAGTGCTCCAGTCATTTAGTATCACCCACAGATTGAATGTTCAGCAGATACCTTGATTTTTAGATGCTGGTATGTGTATTAGCTACAGTATCTACATTTCCCATAATGCATATAGTATCAGTAGGATCTTTATGTTAGACTGTTCCTGCCAGGTAAACACCAGTGTCTCAAAAACACCAAGCAGCCAATCTGCAGGCTTTCTGTTAAATGAGTTTCCAAGCTCCAGCAGTGGAAAGTAAATATATTTGTTCAAGTGCAGCACAGTTTTACTTGAGAATTTACATTCTATGATACTTGATACTTTGTTGCTTTGACTTCACTACATGTCTGAGAGACAATAGTACTGTCTGACTACCTTATAGCTATTGGTTACTTTACACACAGACCAATGATCAACTTCTAAAATATGATGCATTAAACCACCCAACTGTACACACAGGAGTTAAAATGGGCTCCACCCAGACCAGCAACAACAATGACATGTTGCCAACTTGCTGCTGCATGATTAATAATTACCAAATAATAACATCCATACGTATGACAGTATAAAAGAAGCCAATCTGTATAATTTCTACTTTTACTTCTGATGCTTAAAAGCTGCACCACTCGCCGGTTTTGATGTTACAGCCCACAAACTCCACTATCATGTTGTTTCCAACTGCAGCATGTGAATATTATTTTTTTACATTACTTGGAAGTGAGATAACAGCATTATAAATACCTTGCTTCAGCACAAGTAAGCTAGAACCCAAGCAACGTTGTGCCTATTTGGAGCAGGTGAGCCTCTCTGATTGGCTGAGTGAGTAAAGGAGTGTGTAGGCTGTTCCAGGGAGCTGATTGGTTCCAGCCTGACAGCTTCAAACTTAAAAGGATGGCTCTCCTCCACTTCCTGTTAGCCAGACAGCACGCTGTGGTCTACACCTTTGTAAACACTGTAAACGGTGTCATGCTCTGGGGCCAGTAGGGGGGGGTACTGTGCTGTTTGATTGTTTCTTTGTGAGTTGGGAGAGTTAGGTTGATTCATTTGGTTAGTTGGTAGCTCACCCTCAAGCTTAAATATCCTGTTGAAAGCTTTGAGGGCTATAAATGTTGTTGCTGGTGGTTCTTGGAAATGGGAGGAGTGGGGGTCTCTCCTCTCCCCTCATTGCACCCAGGGCCTAACATGTACATGAAACAGGTGTGTCTCCGTCTCCATCTTCACCACCTGCCGGCCCTGGGCTGCTTAATGTTGGAACAGCCTATACTGCAAGGCAGGTGCAGGACCGTCATCACCTCCCCCACCCCTTCAAGTAGATCTGTCCATCCGAGTAATGTCAGAGATCAGGGGGGAAATAATCAAAATAAGACAGAAAGAAGCTAAGATAACAAATCAAAAATACAAAATGGATGACGTTCCCAAAAAGACCTGATGGCCTCGTAGGTTCTTCTGCTTGTAGAGACAGTGACAGAGCTCGTGGAGATAATAACGGAGTTAATGCTAACAAAGCTAGTATAGAAGTAGCGGAGCTAATGGAGGACCAGAAACAACCACCACATCAACTTGACATTATTGCTTAGAACACGGCCTCATACTGCAGTGTGTTCTTTGGATGAACATGGGCCCAGTCCAAATGAAAATTGTAAGGGCTAAATTTAGTTCCTTGTCTGACGCTGACAAACAGTAAAATAATCCCAGCTGACAATGTAACATCAGGGACATTGGGCTCTAATGACTCTAACATTGAACAGGAAGTGAAAATTGGGTTGACATCAAACCCAACGTTAGCTAACTGACATTGTGACGTTTAGCAGACGTTGGGTTTTGTTCATGACCAGAATGTTAGTATTTTATATGTCAAGATGTCGTTGGTATGAGACGTTTGGAGAAGGTTGGATATTGGTGACTTAACAGCACAACTTAAAACCAACAAAATATCAACGTCAGCTGTCGTCAGTTATTCCTACGTTACATTAACGTTGGCATCAGACGTCCTGACATGATTTTTGGTCACCTGACGTCACAACCTGTCTAACGATGTTGGTGGCCTGTCGTGTCCCTGTGGGGATGTCTGTTACCTTGATATAACTCCAGTTTTACAAATCTATGTGTGTTTCTCACTGCATCACAGAGTATGAAAGAATCTAAAGCATGGTATATCACATACAACACCTGTGTCTAGTATTGCAGGGGTGATGTGAACAGGTAAAGTCCAGCTTTAGGATGTGACAGATGTGGGGGGACTGGACGTGATCTTTTTGGTTAAAAGAGTTGGTCTCTTGTTTAGCTACAGTCAAATCATGAACTGAAGTACAGACAGATAAAAGTACATTAAACAAACACTTTGACCACTTTATATAATTTATCATCTGCTGTTTTGTACATGCAGTGTGCTGCAGTTAAACTAGTTCATTCACAGTCACAGTTTGACAGAGAGAAACACAAGGCCACACACACAATAGGCAGCAGTAGTGAATACAGGCTGTCCAGGAGAGGATGAAAAACACATTATGTTCTTATGTCTGAAGCTAGAATAAATGCCTGACTTTGCTTCTCATCCATACAGCAGCTAATGGGATGTCTATGTTTTTAACTGTTGCCACCGTGTAACCTCAACTACTGTGAAGCATAGTTATAGTGGCAACTATACAAGTGAATCTTGAAGTATTTTGCAAATGCAGACATGTGTGTCATCGTCATCAGAAGTGATCATCACTGTGAGAATTCAAGGCAACACAAGGCTTCTCACAGAGGTCCAAAGAGGACAGACAAACACTGCAAAATTATGCAACATCCAAACAGAAATGTCATGACAACATATGCCAAACCAGGAACTGTGATTGCACTGAACACTGAATGACACTCATCAGAATATTGGTTTCAAGGAGCACTTGCTTTTGTATGTTTTTACTAGTGTATATTTTACATTGATAATGTGTCATAATGTCATAGATTTTCAGCATTTCTCCTTCCTCCTCCCAGTTTTCTTTCAGTTCCGTATGCTCTGAACTTTCTAAGACATTAACAATAGACCTATGTTGTGAGTGCACTACACCTACTTTGAACATCAAATGTTGTTGCTATAGTTACCACCCATCCATTTGCTAATCAGTTTATGCAAGCATTCACACAATAAGAGGTGCCGTACACCCTGGACAGGACTCACAAAAGTAATATACACAGAAAGGCAAACAATTCACACTAACATTCCTATTAATGTAGAGTCCTCCAGACTATAGCTCTTTTTCACTATGGGAACTTAACAACCCTTAACCTGGAGCTTCCCATAACCTGATCTTGTAGTAACCTGTGAGGGAGAGGCTCTAGGTATTTGTCGTTTTCCACTGTTTTATACAAAACAGAAGGGTTTTTATGTGCTGTGTAGATGAGTAATGTTCACGCTCACCTGCAGTGGGAGGTTGACCAGACCAGGTACCACCGTGCTGACCAGCTTCCCAAAGCCAGGTGCATTCCTCGGGAAAGGTTGACAGACGGTGATGTCAATAAAACAACAGAGGTGATGTTCAGAAACTGGGAGGAGAACAGACTGCAGAACACGGCAAACTCATTTCTTTTCATTATTTTCTTCAAGATAAAATTAAATATGGCGATGTAGCTTTGTAGCACTTCACTGCCGCACTACTTTATGGAACAAATAGGTCACTACTTACAATGTACTGATTTTTAAAATGCTAGTGTCAGGTGAAATAAACCATATTCAACTAGCACATCAGTGTACTCCCCAACACGGTCCAAACAATCTACAGTTTACAATTACAAATGAAGAATGAAGAAGCAAAACACATAAGGAACTCTGAACCAGAACAATGTCTGACTACTGAAACTAACCGCAGTGCTTATCTAAACATGTCATGTGTATTAACCGCTGTGTTTGCAGTGTTGTAAAACAGCTGTTGTATTTCTTTCCTTCAAGAGTACCTGGAACTTTGAGTTAGTACCATCTCCTGCACAGGGCCCAAATTCTGATTCAGGAACTCGTACAGTGGAAACAAAACCTGAACCTGACAATGGCTGCACTTTGGGCTCTATTTTCATCAACCCGACTCACAACATTGAAGACAATGCCCTGAGCATAGACTACCTACTAACTTTAATAGATCACAGAGCTGCTAAGAATCACTAATTAATCTTTACAGTATCTGGTGCATAATCATGAAGAACAGCAAAACATAAAGCGGTGTTGTGTGATTAGTTAGGAAATAACCTCAGTGCGCCATAGGAAAATACCAGTTCAGCGGTGCATCACTGTGTTAAGCACCAAGAACCTGCACAAAGATGGAGCCATTTTAAGTTATGGGCCCTTAAGTTCCTGTAGTGACAAAGGTCTATTAATGTGGAGCTTTGCAGTCATTCTTCTTCACAGGTCTACACTACATTTTCTGTTGTGCCATTGGGGTCCAGTTTGTTCCTCCAAGGTTATGTATATATAACAGCTGTATGACATATTATATACAGTATTAATGTCTACATTTATAGTAAGTATGTGAATATCTCAGTGTGCACATGCATAACATGCAGAAAAGACTCGGGATGGGTTTGAATGAGTCAGAGTTAAAAAAGATGTGCATCCAACAAAAAGCGTGCAGTTCATCTGAAGTTCTGTTGTAGTTTGAGGACCAACAATTCAAAGCCACCAACTGTTGATCACCTGATGAACTATACCTGAGAACTTAGTCTTCTTCTTCTTCTTCTTGCAGGCACTCGGCTGTGTACACCTTTGGACAAATAAGTGACAATTTTTCATCAAAGACAAGGTGGATTAGAGTCAGCCAAGAGCCTTACAATGGATGAGTCAACAGAAGTGCGAACCGATGGCAACTCTCTGCTAAAGGCGGTCTGTTTGAGTCGTCTGCGCCTGACTCGGCTGCTCTTGGAGGGAGGGGCCTACATAAACGAAAGTAATGAACATGGCGAGACACCGCTTATGGTGGCCTGCAAGACACACCATACAGATTCACAGAGTGTACCCAAACACAAGATGGTTCGGTACGTTCTATCAGGGCACATGTTGATTCTTGAAAGCATGTGTTTGTTGAGAATTACTAGCTGCCACTTGGTGTAATAAATGTGATCTTCACTCCCAATAGGTATCTTCTGGAAAATGGTGCTGATCCAAACATCCAAGACAAGACAGGGAAAACAGCTCTGATGCATGCATGCCTTGAACAAGCTGGAGCTGAAATACTGTCACTCCTTCTGAGCAGTGGAGCTGATCCAACTCTGGAGGATCATGCAGGCTTATCAGCACTGGTTTATGCAGTCAATTCAGGAAACAGGGATGTCCTCAGGGTCCTCTTGGATGCCTGTAAAGCAAAGGGTAAGGAGGTTATCATCATCACCACCAACAAACTGCCATCTGGCCATCATGTTACAAAACAGTATCTCAATGTCCCTCCACCCCCTGACCTTGAGGAGCGCCTGCATTACACCCCAACAACTTGTTGTATGTCTGCATATGAGCTCCAGCTACAAACTCCTCCACAGGGCTCCTCGGCAAGTGCTTCTCCCCAGCCCGGTAGCCCCCTTCTTGGCCTCAGGGATTTCCAGTGTTTTCGCTCAGGGTCCGGCCATGTCACATCTCAACCAGGTTCTCCAATCCAACATCCTAGTCCTTTACGTGTTAATGGAATGGATAAGCAACTTAATCTTCATAGACTTCACTCAGAGCAGTGGTCCAAAAGTCCTTCCTTGCTGCTCCAGCAGAGCCAGGATTCCTCTCTGACAGAGGAGCCAGTGGAAGTTACACCTGAGGAGGACTTGTCCTTCAGAGTCTGTAACCTTGTCAGCCGCAGCAGACCTCCTGCTGTTTCACGCAACCACAGTATCGATGTCCAAGACACACCAGGGCTTCTGAAAGCACTAGAGACCATGTCAGGAAATGAGAATAGGGGAGGTGGAAGAAGAGCCTTTGGTAGAAAGATGTCATATGACAGCGCTGCAAGTTCACTGCATTCTGCTTCCCACCCAAACTTGCATCATGACAGTCTCCCCTTTCCCCATGAATCCAGTCCTGTGGATGAAGATTCCGCTGACTGTCTTAGACAACTGAATGTTTCTAGTCTGCAAAATGTGGTCCGTCGGCAGAATATTGGTATTAACCACTACAGTTCTGACTCTCAGTTATCACAGTTTGGCAGCCGAAACAATAGCTCCAAGAACAGTGGTGGAGCTGGAGTGGGAACAGAAAGGCACAAGCTCATCAACATCAGGTCCTCCACTCTGTCAGGATCCAGGGAGTCCTTGGAGAGCTCTGTCCAGAGACGAGGCGCAGCCTGGCTGGAGCGAAGAGGCTCAGGGGCCCTACTTCTAGATCACATTGCCCACACTCGCCCTGGATACCTTCCTCCTCTGAACCCCCATGCTCCAATACCACACATTGGGGTCTGCTCTAGCTCTTCCTACCCTTTGAGTGGAAGTAGCAAGACACTGAACGGTGTTCTTACAGGGTCAAAGCCTTTTGCCCCTTGTGCACCTGTTTTCCTGAAGAATATACAAACCAAGAAAATGCTGTGGAGACGCCACTCAATGCAGAGTGAGCAGATGAAACAGCTCGGCAACTTCGAGGAAACCTTTGGCCGCTAGAATAACATTTTGCATGTATCAGGGGAAGATGTGTTTGCCCTTAGCAGTATCACACATTGCAGTAATAGCCTGCTCATGTTTCAATGTGAAACTTTATATACTGTAGTACTTTTCCAAAAAGGACTACAGGACTTGACTAAAAAAAAAAAAAAAATCTTAACACAAGGTTCAACTTGCTTTCTGTTTACAAAGCTTTCAACATTTAATTTCCCTCCTCAGTGAATGGAGTTGCTTAATTGTCTGTGAGATGATTTTGTTTTAATCACATGACCAAAGTATGGAATTCTGGTCACATGATAAGAGGGGACTGTAAATGATGGTAAACCCTGTTTCGGCAGATGTCCTTCTTGATCTTACTCCAGCTGTCCACTGACTCCTGGTCAGTGATCTCTTTCCAGTTAATGCTGTGAGAGACTTTGGTCTGGTGTTGTCACCTGCCCAGGAACTTCAGATGGAAAGTAGCTATTAGAATGAATGAATGTTTTCTGTATGTGGTCTTGTATGGGTGCCCCACTAGGATGCTTCTGGTGGTAAAGCTGGCAGACTGTGTGAATAAAAAGAAGTCCTCCTGAACCCAGACTGGGAGCTGCTTCCACAGGAGAGGAGCCTGATAGCTGAAGGCTCTACCTCCCATTCTAGTCTTAGAAACTCTAGGAACCACAAGTAGACAGCGGAGTGTTCTGCTCTTTAAGATATGATGGAGCTTCATCAGTAGGACAGAGAAGCCAACACAGGAGAGATGTGATCTCTTTTCTTAGTTCCTGTCAGTACTCTGCTGCAGCATTTTTGGATCAGCTGGGGGCTTTTCACTGAGTTATTGGGACATCCTAATAATAAAGAATTAGAGTAGTCCAGTCTAGAGGTAACAAATACATGGACTAGTTTTTCAGCATCCTTTTGAGACAGGATGTTTCTCATTTTCATAATTTTGCACAGGTGGGAGAAGGCTGTCCTACAAACTTGTTTTATGCGTAAGTAAAAGACATGACCCCAAGCTTTCTGATGGTAGCACTGGAGGCTGAGGTAATGCAAGTGACTATATGATTAGATGATGTTTTTCTGAGGTGTTTACTTCAGTACATTTACTTCAACTTGCCTGAATTTAGAAGTAAGAAATTACAGGTCATCCAGATCTTTATCAAGGTTAAATTCTTCTAGATCGGTGGAACGCCACTTTCTGTCGAGCTTACGCGATGCTTTAAAGCATGCGTATATGTGAATTGTAACATGGAACCTCCTCTAATTCACTACCTTCTTTTTCAGAGGTGTTGTACGCGATGAGACTGCAGCATTATCAACAAGATCATCACCCTGTGTGGGAGTAACGTTGAGACAGGTGACATTGTATAACACATGGCAGTGGACTAAATAACAAAGGGATTCTTTCCTTAAATATGGTACAGCATGATCAGATAGATGCCTCTTGTAATAGAATTTTTCATCAAATGCTGTCATGCATTATTGTAAAGTCCAAGTAAAAAATGATCAGACAACAGAGCATTTTTGGGATATATTATTAAATGTTCAATTCATGTCAGAACAAGATGGAGGGCTTGATTAAAACAGTGAGTGGATTCATTTACATGTTGAGAAAAGCCAATTGACTCAGAACTGAGGCCGTCACTGTCAACATCTACATAGGAACTCAGGTAAAAACTCTGAGTAACAAATGTTAAACTTACACAGCTGCTAAATTAAAAACAACATATGTGATGAGTCTATACCTTGAGCCATGTCACCCCTTTTAGTGAAACTGAATGTGGACTTTTTTTCTCATGATTCAGACTTTTGACAGAACTTATGTGTCTATGTAATGAAGAAACGATACATTTGCTTTTCAAAGCCAAACAGATTTGAGACTTGGCTGTGACATTACAGAAGATTTCATCTTTGAGAATGACCTTGCATCAGAGAGAGGACAGTCCAGAGTGAATACAGCTTTCATCCACTTTTCATCTGCCAGCTGTTTTTGCCAATTTTCTACAAGAAGTTATTAAAACAATTTATTCTATACAAAGGTTTAAATAATATATCAATTAACTAGATTTGAAACATGCTCCGCACTGCTGGAATTAAATAGTAATTATCAACACAAACTGCACACTAAAGAAAAGAGTGCAGCCCAGCACTTACAAGGTTTCTTTTTCAGTTCACTCACTTTGTGCTGGAGGAGCTTACCTTCTGAGAATAACCTTTTATCTAAACTGCCAGTTAGAAAATCTGCAACCCTGAATACACAAAACCTTCTCTGATACTCTTGTCACTATGTACAGAGTTGCAAGTTGTCAGTGTTCTTTGTAAAACTCTGTATTTTCAATAAACCTTGTACCAAATATATGAGTGTCTTAGTATCTCATTTCATTGAGTGGCTTATTTGAGCAATTCTAAATCTGTGTTCAGACAAATAACAAACCTAAATGCAGCAGATGTGATGGATTATTCAGCAAGGCTGTATGAACTGGTACTGAAATATGAAAATATTTGGAGGACTTACTTTATTATTTCAGGTCCCTGTATATTTTTTGTGTATATTCCTGTGCATTTTTTAGTTACTTTGCAAGTATAAAATAGTTCAAATCATCTCCAAATCAACCAACTAAAACAGTAAAGCACTACTGAAACATCAAAGCATCAGTAATAATCCATTGATCAATTAAAATAAAATACAATAATAAAATACTAGGAAGATTTTTCTGCATGAGAACTTTTACTTTTGATACTTTGAAGAGTATAACAGCCCTGAAAATCTGCCCTTTGACCTCCAGCTGTAGTGACGTACAGGTGTGCTCCAGGACCCTGTGACATCACTGGGTGTGGTTACAGGTGCAACACAGCACATTTCTGACCTCAACCAACCAGTTATGCTGCGTATGGTCAAAGGTGAAACAGACTTTAAAACAACAGAGGTCATCAACACACTGCTTTTTGGCCTGGTGTTAAGTTCTGTAACTGTACTTGAATGCAACACTTTAACTTGTTACGCAGTGTTACAAGTGACTTGTTGCTACAGCGCAGAAGAGAGGTAACTTCAGTATTTCGCAAGGAACAGGCAGCAATTAGAGAAAAGTCAGAAAAAATATATGCACAATTTATGGAGCAAAAATACTTTATTTATCACATGATCCGTAAGATTTAACTTACACTCCAGACAAAAGACAGACAGGTTTGACTTTCCTCTCTCCAGCAGTGACAGTCTCCTGAAGAAGCCACAGCCAGACAGCTTCTCAGTGTTTACAGCGGACGTCACGCTGAGCTCTGTCCTTCACAAGTCCAGGTCATAGTAGATCCTGCTGATGTGGATCTCTTTTTTGTAGGGCAGCAAGTCCTGCAGTGTTACCACGTCATTCCTGCCAGTCCACACAGTTAGAGTGTACCTGTGAACAACAACATTTCATTAACAGCTCAAAGATATTAACATGTGTCAGAGCAACAAATAACGACTCTGCTGTTTACAGTTGTGGGCAGGAACAGACTTGCTCTTTGCCTTTCCTGTAACGCCTTCAGTGCGTAGACATAACAGATGAGAGACATATAGAGTGGATAAACTGATAAGTTGTCATTCAGCCATCGCAAAGACTTGCCATTTTTCTGTGGCTAGAAATGTCGCCAGCTTCAAATCCTATCCTTCACTGTGAGGGAGGACGTGATCCACCAAGAGCGCAGGCTGCTTCTCTCCAGACATGCCACAGTCCAGCAGAGTACCGCCAGAAATCACACTCACTGCAGGATGACTGAGATGCACTAAGTTGGTGGAAAAGTAACTGGATCTGTTCCTTTGCTAACCAAACTTGCCCACAATGCATTCAGCACTTCACTGTAGCAGGGGCTTGTGGGTGACCAGAGGAAGATGGTGCTGAAACCATCTACAGTGGATGTGATTCTCCTACTAGATAATTGCAACTGTGTGAAATGAAGACTACATTTTCCAAGCTCCCTGTGTTAACTGTCATTTACCTCTTGTTATATGCTGTATCAGGTTTTTTTAAAATCTACTTTATATATAATCCCTCCCTTTCCTCTTCCTGCAAAATGTGAAAATATTCTGATGACTCATTCTGCACTCAGGGGCAGTCATAAATTTATATGATCACAGATGAAGAGATAACCCTGCCCATCATATAAATCTGAGCTAGTGGGCAGCTAGCAGAGCAGTAGGAGGTGTGTGTTTGGATGAAGCGGCAACCTCTGAGGCTGAAACATGCAGCCAACACGGAATACCAAAAACTGCACTTCTTCGACTGGTCGCTTGAGTCCGGCTCCAACAAGGAGTCAATCCCTGTAGACTCCCATGTTAAAATGTCCAACTTTACAGCAGAAATAAACATGTTTACAGCCTGGTACAAAAAAACAGTTTTGGTCCCTGCGGCTAATTTCCTCCATCATGACAACTGCGCCCCTCCTCTTTGCCCATTTTTGTATTAGCCTGGCGTTCGGCGGAGTCAGGTAAAGGCGACGACAGCGACGACAGAACAGCTCACAACAGCTCTTCAGAAACTTGTGGGTGACGTCACGGAGGCCATGTCCATCTTTATTTACAGACTATGGTTTGGATTGAGCAGGTAAAGAATGTGAAGAATGTGGTTTGCTGTCCTCCTTCTCCTGGTATAACAACACACAGGTAAGGCAGGTGTGTGGACGCTAACGGCCTCTGCAGCTCCTTAGCTCCATATTTCTCTTCAGCTCTGTATCACGTCACCATATTTGCCATCACCAACCCTATCACATCTGAAGGATTTGATTTAAATCCCTCTGGTAACTAAACCCTGCTCACACACTCAGTTTCACATCACAATACAAAAATGAAAATAAAAATGCTCTCACTTCTGTTGACTTGAAGGATCATCACCATCATGCCTGTACAAGGTTCTGCTTTGGATTAGAGCTGTTTGGACTGTTGTAAAGTTCAGCTGTGGAAGATGTACTGAGTTTAGTTATTTTTTACTGTGACAGAGGATTTCCAAAGCAAACAGTCCAACATTTATTATGTGGCACACAGAATTCAACCACAGCATAAAGAGACACAGATCTTTGGAAATGTGTTCTTTAATTTCTCTGAAAAGCTAAAATGATAAGAATAAGAAAATCCAGACCAAAATGACAAGTTTCAAGTAAACTGAACAAAGAGTGTGGGAGGGGTGGCCTTAAAATATAATACTTAAAATATGCACATTTGATTATGGTGGCCCAGTATGGTCAATTGTCACCATCATATACAGGCTGTGAGCATTTCTCTGTGGACTGAGGCTTTGATACTTTCACAGTATTGGACATCTACTTTTTGACTGGATGGAGCTTTAGATGACTGTTTCCTCATCAAACTCAGTATTGCCCTTCTTTTTGTAGAGCACAGGTTAACTCATGTGCTTTTGTTATGTTATTTTCTTCTCGATTTCTTCTCCTGACTTAGTTTCAACTGATATGGCCGTGTCCCGGGTTTATGTCTGCAAAATACAGCGCTTAACATTACCGTTAATCACTCATGTCCCGGAATCAACTGTGTGCAGGTGAATTAACGTTAACTTCTACTCAATCACGTTTGTTATAGTGTTTCAAATAGACCACACGAACGTAACGTTTATTATAGCACCTGCTGCTGGACACTAAAGGGCTGGTAATTATTGGCATTCTTTTCTTTAGTTGCACCACCACACCAGTGCTGCAGCCTGCTGAAGTCTGCCAGGAGACAGCACAATGATGAATCCTCAGAGGATCCTGCAGGTATTCTACTGAAGGCCAAATGAAATGAATTTCAAGGCATTGCGTCGTGCACAGTACTTGAAGGGATGGTTCGGACTATTTGAAGTGGGGTTGTACGAGGTAGGGAGGTCGACACACACCTAGCTTTGAGAAGCAGAGAGGAGTACCAGCACAGAAGCTAAGCAATGCACTGCTGTGGAAGGCAAAACTTATATAAGCCACTTTAAAAGGTCCAACCAAAAATATCAATATCAGTTTAAGTGTACTCTATATTTAGAACTTTTTTTTTCACCACTTTACTCTGCAGTCAGACAGGCTTTTCTGGTGGGAAACTGTTATTATAAAAAAGCCAGACATCACTCTCTCTCACTCAGCCAGACTCTGCCCGACTCTAATTTTACCTTGCAGAACACGGAGTTGCTGGTCTACCGCTGCCTCAATCGGTTAGTTTGTTTGTGTGACTTCGGCGAATCTGAACTAACCTTTTAAAACACCAAAGCTGCCAGACTCCTTAAGGATTGTGTCCTTAAAGGTACCGGATCGATGAGAATACAGTTAAAGTACCAGATATATAAGAGTACTGTTACAGTACCGGATCGATGAGAGAACCATTAAAGAACTGAATCGATAAGTGGTATCGATAAAAATAGTAGTTCTGTTAAAATCTTCATGATACCCGTCCCTAAGTGGAACTCAGCAGAGATTAAGTAAATGCTGATGTGAAAGACTGGCCTCACTGGTGTGACCTCACCTGTCTGACTGCTGCAGCAGCCACTTGAGCTGGGAGAAGGACTGGGACAGGAGAGCTGCACGAACTGGGAAAGTGACAGGATGTGTAAGGGTTCTACATATCTCCTCCATCACACGCACCATGTCCCAGCTGTAACCTGAAGAAAGAAAAGAAAACATATCAACATCCGGACCGCCTTCTCACAGTATCTACAGGTTTAACATCTACTCCAGGTGTAACACTCTTGAGGATATGGCTGGTAATAAATCCCATATGCAGACCCAAACCAACCACGAATGTGTCCTACTAACAACTACTGTGTAGAGTTCAATTGTTGTCCAAAAACTATTTAAGACACATCAGTATAAGCCACACTGTTGCACTGTGATATTTTTGATTAAATTGGTGGTCTCTCTTTTGTTCTAACATGTAATTACTCACCTAACAAACTTCCTGTGTCATTATGTAATTTTTATCAGAAATATCTTCTTGCCTGGAAGTTATGCTTCATCCACAATTTTTCTCCACATAAAACCTTCTTATGGAACAATGAAAATATAACCTTTAAAAACAATCTCTTTTTTATCCCAATTAGGGCCAAAGAAATATCAGTAATATTGCAGTTATTTTTGATGAACATGGATCTATTCTGTCGTATGAGAATTTTATGACTAAATATAATTTTCCTATTCCTTTGAAAGAATACAACTAGCTAGTGCTAACGCTAGTTTCTTAGCACTCGGAAGATACTTCTTTGTTGCTGGTAACGATAGACTGTAAACACAGTGGAAGCTTCCGGCTTCATAGTGAAAACTCTGCCTATGTCTGCTCTGTCCTCTGCGACTCCCCTGCACTGTGCACTGGTTCTTTAGCCGTTTAACTCAGGTATGAGAGCAACTCTAAGCTAAATCAACATGTTGTATTTGTGTGTACTTGTGTGTGCGTGTTGTTGTGTGGCTTTTTGAGTGTGTGTACATGTCGTTCTATAATTGTGAGGACAAATTTGGGTAAAACCCATTATTGTGAGGTCATTTTGGTCGGTCCTGACAACTTCAAAGTGCTGTTTGAAGGTTAAGCTTTGGCAGTTTCTAACACCACGCACACACTTACATTGACAGACACACAAACACCATCTCCACCTTATAGATATTAACTATGTAAGTGTCTCAACCTGGTAACACAAGCTTTTTGGAGACTCTATGATAGACATCGATTGGCTAATTAGACTGATTAAGTCAGGGCATTATTTTCTGTTGTCCATGTTCTAGCAGGAGAAATCACAGCAGCTTTATTGCAGATCAGCTTCTGTTGGGGCATGTACATGTATGTGTGTAGACATGTCTTGCTGTGGTTGTGGGGACAAATTTAGGTCCCAAACCATCATTGTGAGGTCACTTTGTCCAGTCCTCACAGTTTCAAAGAGCTTGTTGATGGACACCTGCAGTGACTGAGGTCAGAGTTAGGATAATTCTCTACAACATGAATGAAACTCAAAGTAACGTCCTCTGTAGAGATTGAAACGTGTGTGATGGATACGCACCAAGCAGCAGACACATTCATATTTCTTCAGGAATTTTCTAGTTTCTTCTATCATTCATTGTAGCATGTTTGTTTCCCTAAAGCTGGAATAGTATGAGACTTGTAAATGCTCCTACTGTAGCAGTTTCTCATTTGTAGCCAGCACTGACCGTCACTCAGGTTAAAATGATAATATCAGCTGTGACATGATGTCAGGCCAAAATGAAACTTGGCCAAAACAGGGTTAGGGTTAGTCACATTCTCCCATGTAAACTTTCATTCGAATCAATGACTTACAGTTATCAGTTTAATCATTCGGAATAGTGTTCCCAGTAATGACTGGTACTGTAGCTCAGTGAGACCAGGGTCCTATTGTAAGTATTCTGTGTGTGACCCACCAGCTTCTCCAGACCAACCACATTGATCCTGCATGTTCTCTCTCTCTGTCTCTCTCTCTCTCTCTCTCTCTCTCTCTAATGTGCAGTATGTACAGTGGAAATCACTTTCCTATTCAAGTGAATGGTTCCTACACTTCAACCTCAGAATGTTAGTAGTGACATTGTACGTAAACATTTGTTTGGAGGCCAAGTTGGAAACTTGCAATTATTTGACAGTGACAGTGGATGAAGATAGACGGGACAAGAAGAGAGAGAGAAGGGGAGTGACATTCTCTCACGATGAATTCTCTGACTGAGGTATTAACATGATGTTTTTCTTCTGTCATCAGTAGAATGTAAACACAGGCGCTGGTAATGAAGTCTCTTCACCTGGGTTATCTGTCCCAGCAGTCCATCCTGTAGTCCAGCCGAGGGAGAGCACGGTGTGAGTGGGAAGAGTTCTGATGGCAGATAGAAAAGCCTGAGGCTCCAGCGGTGTGGCCTGTCCACCAGGACCAGACAGAATATCTGCGTTGATCCACACAGGACGGCTCGTCTCAGCCAGCACCGCCTCCAGCAGGGCCACAGACGGAGACACTGCCTCCAGGCTGCATGGTGAGTAAACCAGTGTCATCATCACACACACTCACACATCAATAGAGGGAATTTAATTGTGTCTCACCTCTTAAAGTCTAGTTTGATTCCCTTGTCATATGCCTTCACTGCTTCCAGCCACTCCTTCAGTGTGATGTCACTGTCTGTGTCAGGGGGATGTGCCATGACTGGCTCTTTGGGGTCACGACCTCTTATGATTATGTCAGCCTCCAACATATGCATGGGACCTAAAAGGGTCAGTGAAGAACTCAACACAAGAGAAACATGTCTCTTACTGTTCAAACAGCTGTGGATTTACATTGTGATCATGTCTGTCTAGTTCAGACCAGATTCCAGATTCCACTTCAACACAACTTATTTTCTTAATTCTGACTAGTGTGGCACAATCAATCTAAATATAATCCAAATCTCAATATGGCCAAGTGCAATATCCAAATCTGCATGTTTTTTGATAAAGAAAAATGTGAGACAACATTGTTGTGCATTGTTAGCACCATAAGCATTGTGTTGCTACAGAGACGCCCCAGCCTACAGCTCATATCCTCCAGACGAAAAGGAACATGCTTGTTTGGTACAAGAACAACAAAAATCACCTTCACAAAATCATCATCATTTAAAAAAAATGTTCAGTGACAATGAAATGCAAAATACATACATAACATAAAACAGTATGGAAATTGCCAAACATATGTCAAACAACTGGGCCACTACACGTAGTTCACACATGTGGTTTTATCCAAAATGATCTAAGTATAAATTTCTAATATCCTACAGTGTGGTCTTTTGTAGCTACTCAACTGAGAGATAGATATTTTTGTCATATCTATATCATACAAGTCTATGCGTCCTGTCCAGAGTGTCTCCAGATATTGAGCATGGGAGCAGTCGAGCAGTTAGTCAGTCAGTCAGTCAGGCAGTCAGTCAGTCAAACCTCATTCATAAAACACCCACATCAGAATCACCATACTACTGATCTCATTTTAGATGTATGACAGAACTGATGACATGTAAAGCTTTTAATTAAGTGTTTTTTCCAAAAATCATTTTCCATTATGTTATTTGCCCACATTTCAGAGGCTACTCAATCTTCAATTCAACTAAAATACATACATTGAGCTTAACTTGACTGATATTAACATTGGATGCATAGAAAATATATCTTTTTTGCATTTACAGTCATTACGATAAAGTTATGTTTAGAATGAAGATACAATCATAGTTTCCATTATACTGATATTTTATAACACGCAAACGTGTATTTGTCTGCTCTTGCTTTCATTCTGTCCAGTAGATGTTGCTCTGTTAATTTCAAGCATCAAGAAATGAACCTTTTCAAAAACCACTTTGCTGGACTGGTTCAGTGCTTCATGAAGCTTCATGTCACCATCACTAGCACAAGGCAAGCAGATACTGTATATAAAAACATATATTTCAAATAGAAAATATACTTTCTATGGTGTTATTTCAGTGTTTTAAAAATCAAAAATCAAATAAAATCACAAAGTAGTTCATCACAATGTTCATCACAGTTTTAGCTCAAGGTGATCATGGGTTAATTGTCTTCTGTCTGACTAATAGTCCAAAAAAACAAAGATTCTAGATTTAAAATGAGAAATTAATCAGTTATCAAAATATTTGAAAATTTATTTTATATCGATCCATCTGTCAAACTGTTAACTTCAGCTGTACTCCACAGTCTCAGTCTTAACAGGCAGTATTTTGGAGTCCAGGCGGCCTGGGCACTTGTGTGTGAGTGACACAAGTAACTTCCACTAACACTACAAGTGAGCACTTTGTGCTACTTGGTGGCAGAACCTTTCCCTTAAAACTGGCATTATGAGTAGAGTATGATTTACTGCCACCACCAATATAATAATAAAAGGGTGACTCACGTCCTGTCATGGAGAAAAGAAACCATTTTAGATGCCGCAATCACTCTACAACAAGCAGCAGAAGCAGAGGTTTGACAGATGATCAAGCAACAATTAAAAAACATTGAAAAAATAAAAGGAAAAGAAATAAGGAGCATGATTTGTCTAACATGAGTCTGTTAATCTGAAACACTGTACACATGTTACAGCATATACTCTGGTTTAAACAGAGGGATTTCTAGATTAGAAATCAGATTTAAAGACACAGATAATGGGATGACAAATGGCTTCAAGTTACATTTTTAAATCAAGTGACCTGACATCACTAGGTGTGTCTGTTAGGTGGTGTTAGGGGTGTACAGTAAAGACGTACATTTACTTGAGTACTGTAATGACGTATATTTTTCCAGTATCTGTACTTTGAGTATTATTTTTTTTTAAATGTATTACTTTTACTCCACTACACTTAAAAGACAAATATTGTAGTTTGATTCCACTACATTTCTATGAAGTACTCTTACTTTGAAACAGAGCTTTTAGTCAGTGAATGAATTGTATTTTATTTTGAAAATCTGATAGCCCAAACACTGTGTTCACAGGAGAAAAAACAATCACAGCCAGAAATAAGGAGAGATGTATTTTGCTTAAAATGTTTGCTGTATTTACCATGACCAAACTTTATCACTACCTAAAAAAAGAAAAATGAAAACAACAGCTACTTGTTGATTCACTTGTGTTTTTATGTCCATATCTACAGTCTTTGTATCATATTCTACAAGCTTTTTATTGTACAGGTCCTACAGTCAGTCAGTCAGTTGTTTTAGATTAGGTTCTGTAAAAGTGGAACAATACAACAATAAGAAAAATGTACTTTTGAATACTTCAGTATTTTTAAAATCAAGTGTACCAGTACTTTAACTCAAGTAAAAATGTGACTGTTCACACCTGTCAGAGCCTCTGTCAGTCTGCTCCTGCTGTTCACTGCGTGCGACCATTTCACCTCGCTAGCGTCTTTCTTCGTTATCTGATTCAGACTCAGAAAGTACTCCAGCGTCCGGTCACTCATCGCCCTGCGGACAAAGCGTTACCGTCAATTAGCGCCACTTTACAGCCACGGTTTGACTTTAGTCCGGATGCTGAACCAGAGTAAAGATGAGCAGACTGGGATCTGTAATGTTAGCTAGCTGGATTACCGTGAGAAACACGAAGCGTAGCTGAAAACAGTTAGCACACTTAAGATATTTTGTTGGCGTCTTTACACTTTAAATTCCAAATAACATAAAGTGGAAAACAACTCATTAATACTAGGGCAAAGGAAAGACAGACAACAATCCGTGACTCACCTCAACCAGTAACAACACGAGTTTACACAAGTCAAGTTAGTAGCAGGAACACCAACCTCATTCCCGGTTACGAGTTTTCAAAATAAAAGAACCGGCAGTCTTTAACCCATGATGCTATCTAACATTAACAATTTAACAAAACTATGTTTCACTTTTCCTAATGTTAATTAGATGTCAACTTCTTGGTAATAGTAAAAATAACATTAATCACTGACATTCAAAGAAAAGGAGAAAAGTTCCTCCCTCAGTCACAACTGCATCTGATCTTGGGGCCAATTCACCAAGTGGTACCTTTCTGTGACCTTCTCTTTTTTTCTGTGTATTGTATTGTATAGTCTTCCAATGTTATTTGTGCAGAGGCAACAGAGGTGTATGAGCGCTTAAGAAGATTCATCTCCCTCTCAGTATTTCATCCTGTATCTTTCTAACCCCCAATAACAGAGGGAACAGTAACTGTCCTTGTGAAAGGACAATTCACTATTTATGCAACCCTGCACTGAAAAACAGACAAGTGCTTTTGAAGTGTTTTTTCTGTGGGACTGTGTGTTTCAGTGACTGATCAGACAGTGCGAAGGACATTGCATGAAGTCAATCTGTACCAGGAAGAAAACCATTGCTCACAAAACTACACAAAACTGCAGATTAAACTTCGCCAAAGACCACGCAAAGAAACCTGCTGAACAGTGGCACCTAACCCCTCAAACAAAGAGGAGCTGAAAGAATCATCTGTGAAGAAAGGAAGAAAATCTCTCCACAGCATCATCCACACAAAGGAAGATCAAATCTGTCATCAGAAGTAAAGAATTTAAAATATTTAAAAATAACTACAGATCATCTTTTGATGGGATCACAGCAGTAATCCATGTCATTAACATGTTGATGTTCTGACCCTTGAGTACTCAGTAGTTATAACCACATTGTTATATGTGTACTCAGAACTCATGGGTCAGACCACATCTGTCCTTAAACTCAGCCTTCATTTTGATTTCAACCACACACCTGTAAAATTACAAACATTAGAAAGTGGAAAAATGAAACATTACCCGGATCGTTGACGATCACCCTGCCTTTTCTGTCCGGTGGCTCCTGGATGTGTGCCGCAGAGGCAGGTGGTTGCAGCACCTGGTTGACGGGGAGGGCTATAGAGGCCCGAGGAGGGCTCATAGATTCCTTGCTCCTTCATTCTGGATCCTCAGATAATGAGAGATTTCCATCAGACTCATCCTGACAAGCCTGGTGGGTCACCTGGAGGCACCAACTGGGGGGGGGGGGCTACCGGTTACACTCTGTCTCTCCCTCACTCCCTATGTTCTCCCCCATTTCCCCCCTCCCCTGTGTCATTAGTCTGTTCCTGGTTTTGTGTATGGATCAGAAATTCTGGGTCTGCAATTTTGCTGTGTTATAATAGTTGTGGTGGGACGGCCGTTGGCTGTTGTCGTGGCAGCATCATAGACCCACTGGTAGACACCGTGGGTAAGGGAGGTTTTCTGAATTGTCAAGCATTTTGAATGGGCCGTGTATAACCACCAGCATAAAGTCACCCAACTGAAATGTTTTATGGTGCAAGTTTTAAAAATGTTTGATGAATATAAATAAAAGTTGGATTCCTTAAATGGTCTGGTGGGCAGGGCAGGGCTGTTTGGGACATCCAAGTGATTTTTGGTGATGCTCACTGCGGCTGTCTGTGATGCACATTATGATTTGCCATGAACATGCCATTTGAATTTGTCAGAAAGATGATTCAGCATCGATGAATCCTCTCTCGTCCCTTGACCATCCGAGGTAGTGGAGCTTCACTGAACTGTGGCTTTCTCAGCTTTGTAGATAGCAGAGATTTGGTTTTGTTGGTTACTGACTCTCTGGCACCACCGTGACCTGCGGAAAGTGGGCGGCCTTCATCTTACTGGAGTAGACGCTGCTATTTTTTCCAGGAATATAGACGGGTGTTTAAATCAGACTTTGGCAGGTCACAGCTGATTAGACAGCCTGCTCGGTTAACAGGAAGTGCGGCTTTTTGCTTGTCTGCTGTGAAGAGCTGGATGTCACGATGTGTCATGCACCTAATTCCAGATAAAACTGAGGTGCAGGTCATTGAGCCGACCCGATCAAGTATCAGTATCTCTTGACTCGTGCATGACTTCTCAAAGTCTGACAGCCAGTAATGTAGGTGTTAGGTCTGATACTCCCCTCTCTTTTGATCAGCACATTAAAGACATCACCATGACTGGCTTCTGACCATGGCTAACGCAGAGACTCTACTTCACAGCTTTGTGTCATCCAGACTTGATTATTTCTACATTGTTTTTACAGGCCTGCTAATTGTGTAGGTGTCCAAAAAAAGAAGCTAGCAAGCAAAGGAGCACATTTTCATTCATCCAGCCCAGTCTAGTGAAGCTTAATACTGCCAACTATGGGTATAATATGTTATGCAGGCACAAGCCTATAGCATATTGACCTCATTACACCCGTTTTAGCTTCCCCTGGCTCCCTATCCATTTGCCTTAACTTTCAGTTAATGGTTTATTTTTTGATTAACCTACCTCAGGCATCTGTGACGGTATCAATGAGTCTGTTAAAAAACACTGCATCTCTCAAACCCCTGCTTGGTTGTACCTAGTGCACTTAATTATAACTCTAACTCTAACACTCTATTATGGTAATGCCAATAAAGCAAATTCAGTTTAAAATGAGTGCGAGTCCGCTCATCATTATTGTATAACAGTGTGTCGTGTTGTGTAATGCTGAGAGTGTGGCAGGTTTTATGGGAGGGTTTTTTTTTTATCAAACTGATATGAGCTCTGCTGGCCTTTAAAACATGGGCCTGTAGATGGAGAGGGGAGAAGCAAGGTATCAAGACTGCAGGTAAGACTTTCACATATAATCTTCTAGTTAGGGGCAGTTGAGTTTTTTCATTTTCCCTTTTCATTTCTTCAAACTGATCCATCCTCCTGGGTAACTTCTACCCCAATGTCCCCATTTATAAGTAATGACTGTAGTACACCAATAATACTGCTGGCGCCAACCAGTACCTCTAATGCAGGAGCACTCCTACTGTCTCTACTGCTACTTTGCAGTTCATTTTCTGCCTATTTATGATTTTCCAGCTTTAAAGCAACTATAATCAACATTTCTAAAATAAGAAAATCACATGAAAATGTGAAAACAATGAGACAATGTAAAAGGGATTGAACCCATAGAGAATTAACACCCCATGTGGCATCTCCCCTCAGCTTTATGGACCTTTACAGAGATCCACACCTCATTGTTTAGTTTCCCGCTTGTTTTCAGCATCCTTAGAAGAAAAAAGCTTGAAAAATCCACTAAATGCTTGTGGCATTCAGTAGATTTGCTAACTGTTAGCAACTAGCTGGTGAACATGATGGAGCAATTAGCATCTAAAGAGCCACATATTTCCCTTGGGAGTTAAATACAGCTGCTAGAGGCTTGATTTCGACTTTGGACTTTTGGACTCACAACTCCAGTTTATTAATTGTAATGTTGCTTCAGAACTGCTGGATGTGTCAATAACAAGTTCACTATATCAACCTCAAAGGCGATGATGTGTCATAGTGGTTTTCACAACTTGTGTCTGCGGCTGCCAAGTGGACAAAGAGTTTTGGTTTAGCCCGTCTTAACTTTGGTGGAGACAATGGTGTTAATGTCGAAGTGATAAATTATTCCACAAATGAAGTGATTACATTATTAGGTATTTCATGTAGTGATATTTAATAAAAAGAAGCAGTAACATGACACCTGTCATCCTCCATAAATGGAAGTCTATATAGAGGGATAAATCAAACACACAACAAATAACATTTAATTTAGTAAATCAATCCAATGAACAACTTGAAAATAAAAAAAATAAATAATAATAATTTAATAATCAATATAAATAACATTAGGAATGAAAGTGTATTCACACTTAAATAAAAAGGAATTATTTAGTTTGACAGTATAGTTTCTGTAGAGGATTATACATGCATCTGCTGTCACATACCTCAATATAACATACTGCAAAATTCATCCATTAATTCATCTATTAATTTGTTGTTTCCACAATCATTCTAATCTTCTTTACACATTCTATAGCTGTTATTTAATCTATTAGCTCAGTATTGTTGGTGATTTTATATCTACACTTTCTGTTCAGCTAATTAGCTTTGCTTTTTATTTGTAGAAAGTAACAGTGAAGTGTCTCAAATTTCCATGACATACTGGGAATTAAAGTCCAACTGTGATAGGAACAACAGTCCAAACACATCCAGCTGTTCTGGAGCTAAACTTTCACAGTGACCTTCAGAGAGGATGATATAACATGTCCTGAATGTTTAACTCAACACGTGTGTGGAAAGACGATAACAGTGAGGTTTGTTTTATCTTTATCGGGAGGAGATTTTATGTGCAACATGGCCTGTTCACAGATTCTATTTACAGAGTCAATATGTGTTTCCTTTTCCAGTTTAAAGTACATTGATTTTGTATGAAGATTTTAGTCACAGTTACTTATGTTCAATAATGGCCTTTAATTAGGAGTAGCCTACTCCAGATATCTATATACTACACTTCAATAAAGTTCTCAAGTTCTTAAAATGGAAGCAGTAGAAGCTGAGATATCCTGACTTTTAGTCCCGAGATAAACCAACTCAATCAAGCTAAAACACTGGCTCTCAAATGCCCACGTCTTTCAATCTCCACAGTTTGTCACACAGGTTTTCTTTGATGAATTTTTATTCACCAGACATAACTTTGATGACACCACTATGACAATTATTTTCTCAGACTTGACAGAGTCAACATAAGATTTCACCCTCAGGACCTGATCTGTGAAATGAGCAGCATCCCTGAGCAGCTACACAGAGAAAAAACTGTTTTTATTTGTATGTTGGGTAATTTGTTTTATTTGTTTGTGTTATGAGATATATGGCATAGAAAAAAAAAATCATTCCTATAGCAATGAACAAAGGGCAGGAAATGCTGTCCTACAAAGAATAATATAACATCATAGGTTTGACTTTGATTCACTGTACTGGACCAACAGAGACAGAATCCTCTGTGGCATGTTGAGGTCTCATTTAAAAGTCTTGTTTTCAGCACTCAGTATAAGAAGTACTTGATTTGTATATTAAAGTCATACCTTCATATAGTTTTAACTAAATCACTGTCCTGCTGCCCAAAATACTCACAGAACACCACGTGTTCATCTGCAGTCGAAATTAGTCTCCAAAAAAAAAAGGGAAGGAATGGAACTGAAACTACTTAAACATTAAAATCTAGGAGCAAATCATGATGAGGCTGTCGAGCCATGAAGTCAGAGAGTATCGAAAGATGTACTAACACACTGTTGGTTGTCATTGACAGTAAGGAAAACATAACATAGCACCAGCCTCATTCTTTAACACATATATTGATATTATCAGTATATAACAAATTTAATCATGTTGCAGTTCCACAATGTGCCCACTGGAAGGCAGTGAAAACTCATGACTCTAAATACATATGTCTTTGTTCACTCCATCTATCCTCAAGACAGACTGTAACCAATCAAGACTTGCAGTGGAATCTTTTAAATAAAAGAATCAAAACAGCTCTGGTTTTGTAAATGCTTAACTTTGGTCACTTTATTCTGAAAGTAGACACCAGAAGTAACGAAGAGAAATGTGGTGTAATGAGAGGCTTAGATATTTTCTTCCCTTTTTCTGTTGAAAATAACAACCAATAACATCTCATTATTCAGATATAGAGACGTTCACAGGAATGATATCAGGATGAACTGCAGGTGGATGCTGCATCAGGCCTGCCAGGCTAGTCAGTATAGAACTGTTCTGACTGATGGAAAAGCAGGAAGAGATGTGGTCAATCATGGAAGACCTTACCTGGCCAGGTCTGACAACTGAGTGGTAGCTGTTGTATAAAAACAGTAGCACCTCAGAAATATTAATGACAGATAAGGGTTGAGTAAAAACAAAATTAAGAGAAAACATTTCCCTTGATACAATGTGGATTTGTTCCTCCTCCTCCACAGCCTCCTGTGAAGCCATGGCCTCCAGTCTTCCTCTCCTCCTGCTGGTCTTGTGCAGTCTGAGTGTGGCTCAGTCCCAGCTGAAGGTGTTTAACCTGCGGGCCACCGGTCTTCCCTCCGACTTGTTTGGAATCACAGACGGCTACGTCAAGGTGTTCTGTGGCTCAGCCACTCTGGGTATGACATCCATCCGTGATAACAACCCTAACCCCTGGTGGGAGGAGGAGTTCACCAACTCCAAGGCCCAGGTGAACGACGTACTGAGGCTTGAGGTGTTTGACCATGACTTTGCCTTTGATGACCTGCTGGGAGTCTGCCAGTGTCAGATCAAACCGGGAACCCATGAGCACAACTGCTTCCTGAAGGAAGGTGGCTCCCTCCATTACACCTACACCCTCAGCTGAATCATTGAGCATGTATAGATATACGAGACCTTCAGTCTTTACACCCAACCTGCATCTCTCGGACTGGCTCTGGGGAATGTGTGTAACACACTGTGGGTGCTCAGGTTCTCTGTTCCAAATCTATGATTCATCATTTCATCAGAATTAGACCAGAAAAATACTCAAAGTCAATTAACTCAATCAATAAACTTTATTGTTGTTCCTTTGTCACATTTTATTTATTGGCTATTTTACCCTTTTCCAAGGATGACCATGAAAATAAACTGTGCTGCAACAACCAAACTTTATATCATGTTCCCACACATTTAACATAGTATTGTGAGAGTGAAACAGAAGTTACAAGATTACCGTTGTTATTTACTACTACCTTCTTAGACTGAAACTCCTTATAAACATTGCTCAAGGTCTTGCAAACCAATAGACATTTGTGAAAATTGGGTATACAGTATAAATATGACCGTTAACATCAGTTTAAGTGGGCACAGAAGGTTGCTAAGTGATTCTATGCATAATATAATGTAGGTAAAAAAGAGCCACAAGATAAACTGCCATTTTGTCTCTACTGACAAATCAGTGCACACTCAATAGATTACTTTATGCTACAAGTCATCTCTGTGTGTTTTAACCAAGCTGCAAGTACCGTGCTAAAGGTGTGAGATGGTATATTCTTGGGTATTGCAGTATATTCTCCCTTTGCCTCATCAGTTAAAGTGTGTGACTGTGATCTCCTGCTGGCTAACAGTTGATCCACTGGGGTCTATTCCAGGTTTAGTGAAAACTCTGAGTTTCTTAACCCTGAGATGAGGGAAACTCCCTTTTACTCTGAGTTTCTGTCCGTCTCCACCCTCCGGCTGCGATTTAAGAAGCTTCTGACACCAATCATTTCCTCTTCATACCGTCTACGTAAAAGTACAGATCGGAGACATTCATGTAAAGAAGTTCATGTGGGAGAAGATTAAAATCCCGATTGGTCCTTAGTTTGTTAGGCTACCCAAGACCTGTGTTTATGAACATGAGCTCTTTTCTGGTCAATCAGTCAGTGTGAGGACAGAGACAGAGATCTCATATGTTACACATGGAGGCTTCATCCTCACATCAAATCTTTCTAACTCTGAGACTCTGTGGACATTAAGACACCTGTCAGACTGGCATCAGTTCCTCTGCACCGAAACATTCATCACTGTAAAAAAAAGCTTTAGACACACATGACTCTGGTCTATGAAGAATTATTTCTCATGTTCTGATTGGTCGCACTGATGAACAGTCCTATCACAGCTGTCATATTACGCTGTAGATGATGATACTTCTGAGTGAGGATGACAGTAATGCAGCTGAAAATACTTTAACATTTTAAAAACTCGACTAAATGTAGTTTAAATGTCAGGTTTTGAATACACTGAAATAGTCATGCTGTTGAGCAAGATTTTTAAATGTATAGTAGACATCTGAAAATTTACACTCAGCTTTAACCTCGACTCTTTTTCAACTGAAAAGCACCTAACTCAAAATCTGAGGTTACAATCATAAATCTATAAACTTGTGTCTGATCTGTTTCATCTATATCTATAAACTTGTGTCTGATCTGTTTCATCTATATCTTCGTCCTCTGCTGCAGCAGAACTGGCTCCACATCAGGTTACATGTGAACATTTAATTTAACAAACAGCAGGTTCCAGCTGTTCCACAAATAAAAGTCTGATAAAGAATGTGGTCTAGTGGACGACGCTGAATAATCTGTAACAGTTTGAACTAATTGACTCTTTTCCCGTCGCAGGGTTCATCAGCTCAGAGTTCAGGGTTCCAGTCAGAGTTTGTTAAACCTGTTTTCTGGAATAGACCTCTGCTGACTTAAAGGAGCAAACATCAAACAGTTGTGTTTACATTAATTCAAACACACTGTGTATTCTTCAGGTTAACATGTCCTTCCTCATAAAACAGTTGATTTTATTTAGTATTTGAACTCCAGCTTTGTTCCCATCCATATTCACTAGCTTGCAGTCTTCCCCCATGTGTTAGCGTGTTACCACCTGTTGATCGGCGTGCCATCATAGAGGATCACTTGCTTGCATGCATGTGTACTTTCCACTGCTGTTAAAACCTGAGCACGTGAACAAAACAGGGACCCACACAGAAAAACATCACGTTGATACTAAAGGTCAAAAACTCAAGAACCTTTAACAGTAAAGAAGCAATACATGAATAAAAGAGGACAATAAGAAGAGAACAAGACATTCTAAACAACAGCAAAGACAGCTCCATTTTATTTATGTCTGCCAATGATCCAGCATCAGCAACACTGACACAGAGCCCTGACACTGGGATGTAGCCATACTGTTATAGATAGATACTGGTGATGCAGTCTGTGCACATGTCTGCTGACATATATACAGAAACAAAAGGTTTTACAAAGGTTTTACAGATATATGGAAGCCATTCAGCCGGCTTATAAGATCATTAGAGGAGAATTAGAAAAAAAACACTTAAATTATTATCTGCTGTGTCCTGGACTTACATTGGTGAGGGCACAGAATATGTGTCAACTTGTGATCTACATCAGGAAAATAAAGCTTATGATTCAAAGTTTCAGAGAAACTGTGAAATCTTTGTTTGGAATATTTGGTGTATTTGCTTTTTGAGACTGTAAAAAAAAAAATCTAATCAGATGAATGTGGTGCTGTAGTCCTCTCATCATACATGGATAACGTGACCGATGGGCCAAACAAGCCGACCCAAACCAAACATTCTCTTTCTGGCATATTATGTAATGCTGAGAGTGGAACAGGTTGTCAGTGTGCTGTGGGAGGGTGAGATGAAGCTGATATGAGTGTGCTGGCCTTTAAAAACACCTTCAACAACAGCGCAGTGAGAGACGAGTCATCAGCACTACAGGTAAGATTTGACATATGTCACTGTCATCTTGCTCAGTTTGGTAATTGTGTTTTAATTTTATTCAAGCTAATTAGTGCCCAGAGGCCATTTCTACTTTTAATCTGAATGACAGAAAATGTAAAGAAGTAGAAGAAATAAAAGCTAAAGCTTGAATTCAGAAAAGAATATTTAGATTTTTTAATTTTAATTTTAATTTAATTTGAACTTTCCATTTTTTTTTGCATTTCCCATATCTGTTCACCCCACTTATACTTTAATTTTGATCACATGATCTTTTGAGGTCCCTCCACTTGCTGAATGAAATATTTTTTTACATTATTACATGTCATTAAATTATATTTATCTCCTCTTTTAAACTCCAATTTCACATTGTTTCTGTTTTTTTATGTTTCATTTTTGTTTTAATGTTTATATACATTTCCTCAAATACTAATGAAACAAACTGTTCATTTATGTTCACATTTTCTGAATTAATAAAAAATCAAACTGTCCCTCTGAGCCCTTCATTTGGGATTATTCTCCACTGCTGTCCTTGAAATGAAATGCTAATTTAATGGCAAATACTATTGTGAATGTGTGTTTGAGTATTTTATCCTCCATCCACAGTCTGACTGGGAGATTAATGAATTAGATGGCAGCACACAGTGAGTCTGAAACAAATAGGTCACAAATGGATTAATATGTTTCCTGGGACGAATAGAGATAACTGCGGTGACAGTCAAAACTAATGCAGCTGTTATCAGGCTTCTCCCTGATTCATTGAGTCATAAGTGATGAGTCATGTGGTGAATAGTGTTGATACAGATGCTTTATAGAAGGAATCAGGGGAATGGTGCAACACATATTTTCAACAGTTCTAACCATCCTATTTGTGACGTATTTGTATTTGGTGCGTCTCCCAGTGGTTCCCAACTATTGAGCAGCAATGGTGAGCCACTGTACTTCATGATAAGTCTACTGTACTCACAAAAGGGAAATTCAAATATACCTTTTCTTGTAATAATGATTTATATCTTATATAAATAAATAAATATGACTTCCTCAATTTTCTCAAAATAATGAGATAAAGATCAAATATCTATGTACTGTAATGTACTGTAATTCTTGTGTATTGTTTAAAGACAGTGAAATGTGAAATAAACAAAAACACTGCTTAAGTCAGAATGAAATATGCACCAGGATCGTTGACAGAAGGTCTGAGGTTGGCAGATTACTGGCAGTGACATCAAGTTTTATGTGAGAGTGGCTCAAATCTCATATTTAAACTGGAGCAAGTCACAACCCATCAACCCTGCCTTGGTGTCCTTGAGCAGCAAAATCCCTAAAAGAATTATGTTGGGTATTGGATGATTCTAAACTTCACAATTTCTGCTAATACTGTTGTTAATTTAGTGATGTCGGCAATGATCAACAAGTGTTTCATTGTGCTTCATTGTGGTGCTAACAGTAATGGGACCTGTAGGATTCGTAGAATCTGTAGAACTGTGCAGTATCAACTGTTTTGTCTGGCAGTAGAGTTTGCTTCAATTCAAAATGACACTTATTTTTGGGGTAAAAACATTTGTGTATGATCAGTCTAAGAAATATATATATGTACTGTATATATATATATATATATATATATATATATATTCATCTGGATGTTATGGGCCACGGTTTCAAAAGCTCACATTGGGGTATTGCAGTCATGGGCACTGAAAGCTGAGAGTGTGTCATAAGATCTTCACAGATCCATGCACCCTCCTCCACAGCCTCCTGTGAAGCCATGGCCTCCAGTCTTCCTCTCCTCCTGCTGGTCTTGTGCAGTCTGAGTGTGGCTCAGTCCCAGCTGACGGTGTTTAACCTGCGGGCCAGCGGTCTTCCCTCCAACATCCTGGGAACCACAGACGGCTACGTCAAGGTGTTCTGTGGCTCAGCCACTCTGGGTACGACGTCCATCCGTAACAACGATGCCAACCCCTGGTGGGAGGAGGAGTTCACCCACTTCAAAGGCCAGGAGAACGACATACTGAGGCTTGAGGTGTTTGACAGTGATTTCATCTCTGATGACCTGCTGGGTGTCTGCCAGCGTCAGATCAAACCGGGAACCCATAAGCACGACTGCTTCCTGAAGAAGGGTGGCTCCCTCCATTACTTCTACACCCTTGGTGGAAATAATCATTAGTCTGGTATAGATGTATGACCCCTGTGGCCTGTATTTACCACAGCATTACTCCAACATGATGACGTGGTAATAATCTGAAACTTTTCTACATTAAAATGGCTAAAAACATCTAGACCTTTGCTCTATATGTTGTTGAGTTGAGTTCTTACATTATCACAGATGTTTCCATCAATTCTCCAACCAGAGAAATCTGTGATTTTAATCATGGTAACGTTTCATTGGTCGCCTGTCAGTGACATCATATCCTCTATGATCATGTGTCAGTGTGTTTGTCTGACAGAAGTTCAACATTGACTTTTATCTAGTTTTAAGCCACATACACTTTTGACACCTTGGTGGTTTCCAGCTCTGTATTTGAACCAGATGAAGGATTTTAGTCGTCGGACGTCTGGATCTGAAGTTATCAGAGAAACAAGCTGAGGAAATGTTAGACAGCTCAGCTCCCAGCTGCTGGAGACGTCCTGTCCTGTGTCACTGAAGAGCGTCGCTGAATCTCTGAGTTTTAAAGGTAAACTGCTTCATGGGTGACGTGATATTTAAAAAATTGAAATACTGATATTATGTTAACAATACATTTTTGATGGTGATAGCAGATCTTTTGTTTATCAGTTCATTTTGTTGCCTCCTCACTGCTCATTAAATGTAATTGTTCTTTTTGTACAGTCATTGTTACAGACTCTCTGCACCGCCCTACATAATAAACATCCTGTAGATATTGTGATATATGATTCTGGTTATGAAAATTGTTAGTCTTGTGGTGATGAAGAGAGAATTTAATAATTTTCTTTTCTTTTCTTTTCTTTTCCTTTTCTTTTCTTTTCTTTTCTTTTCTTTTTTCTTTTCTTTTCTTTTCTTCCACACATTAGTCCAGTAGGTGGCAGTTATGCGTTAGGCTCGTTTGCCAACAGCCATTAAAAGCCCAACGAAGAAGAAAACGAAGCAGTCGAAGGAGAAGAAGAAGACGACGACAGGTTTTGTTTTGTTGTGCTCTCTGCTCTGTTGTTTGTTAGAAGTGAACATGGATGTGAACCAGCCGTCATACTACACTGTGTTAGATAAAAAGAGCCAGTCTAAATTTCTTTGCTATACTCACAGAAAGAACGGAATCTTTTCTGTTTGGTGAGTCAACTCTTGTCTTAAAATACACAGGAAATTGACTTAAATCGTTCACTACTGAACGGAGAGAACCTCGAGCCAATGTCCATTTAAAATCCGACAGTTTATTATACTTAACATGAAAATAACTGCTGTGTTAGAATTTAAAATAAAGCCTGGTGTTAAACTGAATTATTGTCCCCCTCTGATGAGGACAGCTTAACACAACTCCACCAAGTAGCATAAAATGCTCACATAATGCAGAAACGTGGAGTCGGATTTATAGTGTTCAATCAATCGATCAATCAATCTCCAAACGTATTTGGTGGTAAGTAGAGTGTAGGCCTATAGAAAAGTGATCCCTAAAATCAGTTTTCTTGTGACGGTAATTAAACTAGAAAACACTATATTGGCTCACTGAGTCAGTTCAGGGGTGTACACACTAATATGAACCAACCAATGTCCCTTCAATAGACGATCCTTTTCTGAAGGCATAGCCACTTTAAACCTTATGGAGAAAATGTAACTTATTCAAAATGTTAATGCCTTCTTTATTACATGGGTTCTGTTGTTTTTGTGTCGGTTTATTATCATTATTCTACAGAGTATTCATCAATCTGGACTCAATGGCCTATAATGACAAAGTGAAAACAGAATTTTAGAATTTTTTTTCAAAATTAGAAAAAAGGAAAAACTGAAATATCACGCTGACATAAGTATTCAGACACTTTGCTGCGCTATTTGAAGTTTGGCTCAGGTTCTTCCATTTCTCTGGATCATCTGTGAGATGTTTCTACCCCTTGATAGGAGTCCACCTGTGGTAAACCCAGTTGATTGGACATGTACGGTGGCCCTGAGCGCTCAAAGCACTGTAACTTAAGAGGGCATGTATCTCCCCTGTGTCTGTGACTCATACCATCAAAATGCCAGATCTGGAATGACCATGAAGGTGTAGTCCCTCCATAATTCTTAAATGGAAGAAGTTTGGAACAACCAGGACACACACCTGAGACCATGTAATGAATTAGGTTGTAGATGTGCATTTTTAATGCCAATTTGCCCCCCCCTTTGTAAGGACATGTGACCAAGTGGGATTTTAACTATTGTCATCATTATGTTTTTGTTCATCTGCTGCAGTTTGACAGATGCTGCTGATGTTTGGAGCACAGAGTACACTGAGGGCACGCTGAACCAGTTTGTAAGTTTCACCTGCAGACCCCTCATGATTTTCACTCTGTACCTGCTGTGACATTGGTTGTAACTGTACCTGTCTGTTTAGAAACAGAGGTTTGCCTTGAAATCTACAGAAGATTATGCTCTAAAACTCAGGTAAGATTACAACCCGGTTTCCTTTAAAACCCCTTTGTGTAACGTTCTGGGAAGTTACTAGAGTTCAGTGGTCAGCAGCAGCAGAACATCCTTTGTAATGAGACCGAGCAGCTCCCATGCCAGAGACTGTATGGATTAAAGAGTCATCTTTAGGTAACTGAGGCTGAATGTTCCTGTCTTTCTCCTCAGGTCGGCTTGTAGTAGTGGGGACGTGTCTGTTGTGGTTCATGACTCCAGGGTGGAGCTCCAGGTGGGCTCCAATCCAGGGGACCTGAGTGTGACCCTGTCCAGGCTGGAAAGCCCCCAGGCTACAGAGGAACTGAGGGAGCTGTTGTTCAGGATGGCCAACACTCTCTCTCAGCTGGACAGTAAATGTACTTTGTTTCTGTGACTTATTGCAGTTGTTTCACAGAGAGTGTGGGGTTTGAGTTTATAGGAACTTATGCATTTATGTAACCAGCTGTCACTTTGAAATCAATGCTCAGTGTGTTTTGTCCGTCCCTCCAGTTAGACCTCTGCCAGTCAGTCCAATGAAAAATCACCAATGGCATCCAACAGGTATGTTTAGTTGAATCTCTGAATGAGATCCTCCGGTTAGTAAATGTGTGTTTTTAAAACTTATTCAGTGGTCCAACACTGCAGCTACAGCTAGTTAGCATGGGTGTGTACTGGGAGGCAGGATGTAACCAGCTGTAGGATGTAACATGAAGTGGGTGTAACTGCAAGTATCGCAGCCTGCCCACCTGCAGGCAGACCCATCTACTTCCAATGGAAAAGGCAAAAGCAATAGGTAAAAGCAAAAACAATATGATAAAAGCAAAAGCAATAGGTAAAAGCCAATTTTATTGTTTTATTTATTTCTCTTTATATTTCCACATTTTATTTAGTGTAGTGTAAATTTTCAGACATTTATTTTACATCTTGCTCAACAGCATTTAATGACTATATTCCAACACGTAGTGAATGTATATACATTTACTGAAATGCTGTTAAAACAGTTTCAGACTATCTGCAGCCTGTATGCAAAACCTCACTTAAAGAGGACTTATTGTGACCATTCTTAGTGTTCATCATTTCATTCTTGGTGTGGACTAAAAAAAGATTTACAAGATTTAATGTTCTGAGAAAACATTAGTTTTCTTCTGCTGTACATTTTATACTGTACTCTCTTCACCCTCTGTCTGAAACGATCTGGTAGAGCTCAGGGCTCTTTAAGGCCCCCCTCCTCCCTCTGGAGCCCAGTGTGCTCTGGTTGGTCAGCTTGCCACCAACTACCATGGCAACGCAACATTCTGCACGTCTTGTGTAAACAAACTTCGGATGACAATATTCATATCTTGGAATATTTTTATAAGAAACCGTTTTTGATTTTTTTTTACTTCAGAACTAAAAGAATGTAAATAATGGAGGAACAGACAGACGGAGGACAGGTATGGAGTCTCCACCGCTTCACCTGCTGCTGGTTTATAATGCTAGTAAATCTGAATGGATTTAGTGATAGTGATGAATGCATAGTAGTTGTTTCAGTGCAGAGGAAGAGATTGACAATATGACAGGTGTCTTAATGTCTCAGAGTTATAAAGACGGACAGTGCAGATTTTTAATTTGATCTGAGGATGAAGCCTCCATTTGTAATATCTGAATATCAGATCTCTGTCTCTGTCCTCACACTGACTGATCCATCATAAAAGAGATCATGTTCATTAAGACAGGTCTTAGTTAACAATCTAATCTTCTCCCAACATAAACTTCTTTAAATGAATGTCTCCGATCTGCACTTTAACGTAGACAGTATGAATGAGGAAACTGACTTTTCGTGTCAGAAACTTCTTAAGTCGCAGCAGGAGGGTGGAGACACACAAAAACTCAGGGCTTGTTGAAGAAAACCTGCCAGGGAGCAGGTTAGTAAGTTACCACGGTAACTGACTCCAGTGTTGATATGGACGCTTAAAAATGCACAAAAATGTGAACATTCACACAAAACATCAACATAGGTTTTATCTTCTTCATCAGAGACTGAGCTAAATGTTCTCCATATTGTAATATTTCTAAAGAGTGGGGTGTGACTCCTTTCTCCTTTCTTCTATTCTGCTCATTTCCAACTCTATATTTTTATTCTGGGACTCCACTAGTTTAGCTTTACATGATTGACGGTTCAAAAAAGTCCTTACTTATCTCAAACTGCCCGAGTCTCTGATTGAAACAGGCAACATTAGCTCGGGCCTCCGTAGAAGTCCAATTCTTATGAATAGCTGAGTATGAAATTGATGTGGATCATATGCTGTGACCTTCACAGTCACCAGATCTCAACCCAGTTAAACATTTATGGGAGATTTTGGACGGATGTGTTGGACAGTGCTCTGCACCATCATCATCACAACAATAAATGAGGGAATATCTTTAGGAAGAACGGTTCATCCTCCAGTAGAGTTCAGAGAGGAGGGGAATCAATGCAGAGGAGCACATGGTGGCCCAGCACTTAACTAAGACACTGTATGTTGGTCACCTGTCTGTAGGTGTCGAGATTCACACCTTCCAACCAATCAGAATCCAGGATCTTCAGTGCCATATTGTAAATGTGGTGAATTGCTTATGGAGTTGTTCAGCATCTTACAGAGATGATGATTTATTTCTTCAGAGTTTGAGCCGCGGCAGCAGCAGAGTGCTCCGTCAGTGACTGTGAAGAGACG